TATATATATAGTAAACATTAAATGTATATTAAATGATATCCATACTTATAATTTTTTTTATGGAAACTAATTAAATTCGTCATTAATGTCAACAATAATATTTTTTCAGAATGAATTCATATGTAGAATAATAATAGTGTATTCTAGTAGATCGAGAGTATATTCTACTAGAATACACCGTCATTCTTCATATTTAATACAACTTTATTGTATTTTAAGTGAGTGAGTCCTGAAAAAATGTTATTGCTGACAGTCTGACATAAAAACCTAGATACAAATTCATTATGAAAGAATGTTATTGCTGACATTAATGACAAAATTAATTAGTTTCCATAAAGATAAAATTATAATTATGGATATCATTTAATATATATACAATTATTGAAATCATTTAATATCTGTCTTTATTTAATTCAATAATAATTAAATTTTACTAAATTCTTATTGGTGTATTCTAGCACACAATAAATGTAAGAAACACTTTAACGTAACGTATATATATATATATATATATATATATATATATATATATATTAATTTTTATATATCGTATATAAATTAAGATAGCATTTTGTTAAATTAATTTTAATACTTTATGCAACCTAATAAATATAATTTTGACAAAATTGCAAAAATGGTCCCTGTGGTATGTATATTTTTGGGGTTTTAGTCCAAACTCCGATTTTTTTGGGTTCGTGGTCCTTTTGAGCTAGTTTCATTGTGGATTTGGTCCCTCCGTAAACGAAAATGACTTTAATACCCTTGTGTATTTATTTTCTATTTCTAAATTCATTTTTTTAAAGTTTTAATAATTATTTTTTCATTTTAATAATTAAAAAAATGAAAAGGCTCTCTCTCTCTCTCTCTCTCTCTCCAGATCGTTTCTTAACTTGTTCAACATTAGATTATCGATCGAGGAAGTCGATCTGGATCTCTGGACTTTTGTTTATGAATCAGGCGCAAATTCTTTCTTTCCACAAAGATTGACAGCATATGTGATGTTTGGGTCGGTTTGCTTGACAGTACGATTCATGACTTCGAATTCGAGGTTAGGGTGGTCGGATTTGGCAGGTAGATCGATGTTCCTCATCTTTTTCTAAGGTCTCCATTAGTTGGAAATTGGAGCAATAACAAGGTCTGATGGAAGCACAAACAAGCAGGAGATGTAAATACCCCTAAATCAATATGTCATCGGATCCCTCTCAGGTCCCCATACCTTCCTCTTCACTAGAATTCGACACTAGTGTAACTAGGGTTTCATCGGCATACAATAATCTTTACACGCCACCATCACCGTCTCATACACTTTAATGATCGCTCTTTATCAGCCAAGCACCCATTTCAGCTCGAAAAAAAAGTCAAAAGGAAAAATCGAGGTATTGGTTCTTGTGTGATTCAACCGATCGATCTACATCAGCCAACAAACACCATATCGATATGTCATCAACAACATCTAATAACCCATCTGCAACTCTGAGAAAAAAACATAAGGAAAAAATAGAAGGGCACCACAGATACCATTTCTCGGTCATGTCCATCTTCTTGGTTGCGTGAAAGATCCGTGATAGTTTGATTTGGGTTTTTTTGGTTCATTTTTTTTGGAGACACGAACCTGATTTTAGATTTCTAAAAGATTTGTGATGAACATGATTCTGGATTGCTTGTTTGGTTTCAGTTTAATTGTTTCTTGGAGATTGGAACCTAAAAGGGATCAAGGATTTCTTACTTGATTTTTCAGTTTTCTTGTTTTGTGAAGAAGAGAGAGAGAGACCACTTATTTTTTAATTTTTTAAATAAATAAATATAAGATTTTAGAAAAATGAAAGAAAAATAGAAAATAAATACCCCAAGGGCATTACAGTCATTTCAATTTACCGAGGGACCAAATCCGCAATGAAACTAGCTCAAAAGAACCACGAATCAAAAAAAATCAGAGTTTAGACTAAAACCCCAAAAAAAAATACATGCCCACACGGACCATTTTTGCAATTTTGTCTATAATTTTTTAAATTATCTGAATTTGCGCTACAAAATATCACTCCTTTCTAGGAATTTGCTGTCCTAATATTTAATAGATCTCGTTGCCTGTAGAAAAGGATTAAAAAAACAAATCCCCAAAGAAAACCAGAACATCATCGTTGACTCTCCCCTCTGGCCATCTCCCTTCTGTCCTTCTTTACTCGCCGTTTCCCTCCCGACTTGCCGCCGCCATTCGGTCTGTAGTTTTCGGTCATCATCTTTCTCAGCCTCTTCACTGCTGTTTCATCCTCTATCATCGCTGCTTCAGGTCTCCTTGTCATCCTTAGGAAGGTATGTATGAAATCGAATTCTAACAAGTTAGTTTTACATGTTGTTAATTTCATCTTATAAATCATAAGTCACATAGGAATCGTTTGTTTATTTCATTAACAGGTGATTGGCAGTTTTTAAAACTATTTTCTTTAATTTTATCTATCAATTAGGATAGGACACAGTCGTTATTGCCAAAAGTCAAGAATGATGAACAAAACTTTTTGTGAACTTGGGGAAAGTCTTCAATTGTTGAAAACTGTTCCCTCAATTTCATT